CCAACAAACTTCCTTTCCCTTCCAGGGCTAGTCCAATTCTATACCAGAATTCATTCTGTCCATCCCATTACATTGCACAGAGGGACTGTAAATGGCACACCCCATTGTCTTTATATACTGGATTCTGTGAAGACCAGTAGGTGCAACACTGCTTTTTAGTAGTCAGGAGATATCAAATAAATGCCTGTTGTATCAAAATAAATACATTTGCTGTATGCTGGCGTGGCACTATCCTCGAATGCAATCAAAATGTTTACATTCTGCTGGCATTTTGTGAATCTGCATTTCTAAAAATACCAGCAGATTTCTTACAAATGCCCTCAAACAGAGTATTTTATTTTTTTGATATACTTACCAGACCTACTATATATTGTAAAACAATTTTTATATGTGTATGATATTAGGCAATTTTGTCTGACCCTAATGAAAGAATGGCAAACCAGTCATTATTATTATTATTAGGTTATTATTTATATAGTGCAAACAAATTGCACAGTGCTTTACAGTGGGTGGACGAACAGACATGTAGTTGTAACCAGACGAGTTGGACACACAGGAACAGAGGGGTTGAGGGTCCTGCTCAATGAGCTTACATGCTAGAGAGAGTGGGGTAAAGTGACACAAAAGGTAAGGATAGTATTAGACTAATGACAGTTGCAGAAGAGGAATCAGTCGGGAGCTATTAACAGTTTAATTGATGCGCTTTTATGAAGAAGTTGGTTTTTAATGATTTTTTGAAGGAGTGGAGACTGGGAGAGCATCTAACGGAGGAGGGAAGTGAGTTCTACAGGAACGGTTTTATGATTTCTAATACATTATACATCTATTTTTATGCAAAGAATTAATAAATAAATGAAAACAAATCTGCATTGTATATCTAAAATAAATATTCAATAGTGACGTGACGGACCACCAATTTGAACGTTAGCGTTATTTATACATTTTCTATAAAATAAATATTTTTCTTAGTATATTATACTGTACAGTACACTAAATATATACAGTATACAATAGTATGTATTCTATATTTGTAGTTCATATCAAGAGTTAACAAAGAACAACCTGACAAATCACATTAATACGTTGTAACAATTTCAAATGGTTCAGTAAATACTAAACTATTTTCTCTAACGCAGTGAAATATAATAAGAATGATAAATAGTACTCAGCCCTTATTAAAAAAATCTCTTCTGTGTACTATTCAAATTGATATATTGAGCACTAATATATTCCTCAGTATCCAGTATCCATATCCAATAACCCAATGATTGGTGTAACAAGGCAACACGTAAAAGGCAGAGCTCCGAGACAGAACAACCTTTTATTAGAAATGCTGCTAGTGAGATTCAGTATAAGCTGCTATCACACAATAACTTCAAGTTAGCTGCTATTTTTGCAATATATAACAATATCCCAGTGAGTAACATCAATAGTAATAGATACTCTAACACCTTAGTGAGTTTTCCCTTTAATCACACAAACAAACAGAAATATACATACAATATAAGGTGGAGTATCTTTACATGAATTTAAATTGTTCTTAAGTTGTTCTTCCTAAGATTAAAACATAGATAAAGAGAAATAGTGCAATATAGCCAATTTTCAATAATTCAGTGCAATGTTAAATAAGAAAAGCACTCACAAACAAGGAGCCAATGTGGTGGCTCAGAAGTTCAGCTTTGTGGGTGCTAGAGGGACCCACTCCCTTCTTTGTACTGGCAGGGGTTTCCAAACAATAGGATATCCTCACCGTATGCAGTAGGGATAAAGTGCTTTATAATAAAGTGCACAAAATATACATTAATTAAAATAAATAGATTTTAAAAAACTTACAATTTTGAAGGTAAGTCCTTTTGTAAAGTCTTATAAAGACTGCTACTTTTGGCATAAGTTGTTTTTAGCAACTTTGTGTATATTTTAATCAAATCCAGAATAAATTGTATTTTTAAAAACGCTGCACCTTGAGTTGTATTCAAACCAAAAAAGTGGGTGTTACCCATAAAGACACAGCGTGGAGCATTACCTCACGCTCCAGAAAAATGTGTGTTCAATACTAATACTTCATGTACATAAGATTGTATCTGGTGATAATCTTCACTTGATGATGCTTTGTGTATATTTCTATATTTTACATATTCTGCCCATCAACAGGAGTAGACAGAAAGAAGTGAATAAAGGAAGGGGGACCCGATTCAAATAAACATGCGGTGCCACCCTTTAGATGGTACAAGTCTCTACAGTTTTTTTCAATAAACTCCCTATTTGTGAATAGCATAATTATTTTGACATTTTAAGAACTAATTTCCTTTGCTATGTTATACTATATTCCTATTGTATTACTTTACTTTTTACATGGATTTTGGAGGAAAATTTTAAGAAACATACACTGGTATAAATGGTATAAAAATATATTTTATTATTGCCACAAAATAAGTGCTCCATATCGCTCACAGATTTTTTTCACCAATGGTGAAACACGAGTGTGCATCAGCTAATCTTTATAAATATCCATTGTATTGTAGAAAACTGTATAATATAAGCACCAAGCAGAACTGTCTTCTTTAAACAAGTATACAAGAACTGGGGTGGAAATACAAAAAAAACATTTGTTTTTGTTTTGTTAAATGGATAACTGTTTTTTGTGGTGCCAATAGTGTCCCCAAGACCAGACAGGCCATCTGGCAAACTGGTCAAATGCCAGTGGGTCACGATGGCCATGGGTCAAGGCTGGCAGGGGGGGGAGAAGATGATCTCCCCTGCCAACCAATGCAAGACCGGCACTATCTGAAAAATCTCCCTTACTGGCCCACAGATGCTTTAATTTGGCAGCTGGCCAGTGAAGGAGAGAAGACCCAGGAGCTCTTTCTGAATTCTTACTCCTGCGAAATCTGAGCGTTGCCACGGTTACCATGGCAATGCTCCAATCTCACAAGAGTGAACTCTAGCTCCAGGAGCTACAGGCTAGAGTTCACTCACCTTGGCTTGCTGGCAATGCCCAACCTCCCTGGGCAAAGGTAAGAAGGGACTGGGTTTATAAAGTAATGTGATCAAGATTTAAAAATGTATTCATCTTGAAAAGCACAAACCAGGACACCCTACTGACTATTATTATAATTATCATTTGCATCTAATACTATTTGTCAGTGGTTTGTTTGTAGTTTAAACATTATATAAAAATAAAGACCTCACTCAGATTCATTATCTGTAGAGTTCAAATGTGTTTCATCTTATTATTTATTTAGAAGCATCCGTTGTTCTCTCTTTTGTCTCGAGATAAAACATATTTAATTTTTTCCCCATGTTCCTTTGTATGATTTCTATATTTTTATTATGATATCTTTTCATATGAATATGGAATGTATTTCAAATCTCAACCCATCACCACTAGTTAAACTGGTTCATAGGAAATATTCACCACTTACTCCATTTTAAAGTTAGCATGATTCTATTAATTCGTAGGAGAGTGAGCTGATCTAAAGTCAGCATTGGTACTTGAACTTACACTAAAGTTAAGGAAAATATTCTCATCGCTGTATTCAGATCATGCACACTGGCACTTGGTGGACTTTTCCTAACAAATACATTTGGAATTAGAAGATGAAAAAAAGTTTAATATGATCCTGCAATAGGTTTGACGCTGTTATGACTATATAAGTGTCAATGATTGGAATCACCTCTTTTGCAAAGTATGTAAAGCAAGACAAACAAATCTTTAAGCCAAAGTGCAGAGTTAATCCAAAATTTGTAAAATACAGAGATTAAAAATTCTCACCAAATTTACCTCTGTCCCACCAACACCAATTCTGCAGAAATGAGACATGATGGAAATCATTGGAATTTATTGAGAACTTGTTTTTTTCACTAGAACCTGGAAAGAACATTGCACTCTGCATGGTCAAGTACAGTACCCTGAGCAAACACACAATGATATTTATGTGACAAAAACTATTTTCTTGAAAATGTTACCATCTACATTTACATCTGCAGATTTTCAATGTTATACCCACCTTGTGTTAACCCCAGATAATTTCAAGAATTTACGGTAATAGAAGTACTTGCGTAGTTCTGTGATGTACGGACATTGTCAAATATCACGGCAGGTGGTGGCTGTTTGGTTTCAAATGGCAAAGATTTGTGAATAAAACAACTGTAACCTTTTATTCACCCTATCACAGCCTATGGCAGAGGCATTTTATACAGCAATTTTGTGGTTCTGGTCGATGGAGTTTAGTTTTGACACCGTATTCTCTTGAATTGGTTATTTTATCACATCTATTTTACATTATTTATATTCACACCTCTCTTAGGACAGATTATTTAAATACACTTTAGCTTATTTAGTACTAGCAGTATTTACTTTGTCTCCCACGTTGAAATTAATGTAGGACTCACCGACTATTGGGGTACTGTAACGTAGTGGTAGGCCTGACACGATATGGTCATATGGTGTAACGGAATCTTCTTATTTTTTGCTGAGATAGGTGATTTTAAGTAACATTGTAAAAAAATGAAAACTGTACTTCTGTGTGTACACTGTTACATAATCTGTATTTTGTATACATTTTGGCCTCTACAGCAGCACCAATGCTGAGAAATGCATGTCCCTGGTGTGCCCCCAGTTCCCCCTTTTTTTGTCAGATAGCAGGGGAGATTGTGGCTGTTGGGTTTCAAATAGCATCGGCTTGTGAATAAAACAGCTGTAACCCTTTTCACCTTATCGCAGCCTTAGGCAGAGGCATTTTATGCAGCTATCTCCTATCACTGACAGGGTCACTTCTAGCCTTTATTATTTGGGGCTCAGGTGGATGGATTATAATGAAATGACTGAGGGGGCAGGTGCTGCTGTTGATGCGGGTTTTTTTTTTATTCACTCCTCTTTCTTCTATTATTCATATGACTAAACTAAAGATACATTCAACACCCTTACTGATAGACCTAATTCTCCACATAGTAATATAAGAAACCCTAGTATAAATACATCCTCCCTCCCCCCCCGCCAGATACTCCACCATCACCCTCTTTTTTTCGGCCGGACCTAATACAAAACAGAAGGAAATGGACGGACAAGACTCAATCCTGGGACATACAAGGGAAAAGACAACGATCAACGGAAGAAGAAGGAGACAGAGAAGAAAGAAGAAAACAGCTCAGAGAGAAGAGAGGCAAGACCTCAGTTTAGAAGGAATATTCAATCTAGCAGATCAACCTTTAACTATGGAACATATAGATATATGTTTTAAAAGGGCCTAAAATTTGCCCCTACAGCCGATTTCAATTCCTTTGACTTTTTTGTAGACATGAATCTATTTATTAGGAAACTATGTTTAAACAAAAAAAATTTTAACAGAGAAAAATACAGAGTGATGAATATTTTCATACATCACTTAAAGAAAAATCCCAATTTTTTCCAAGACACCTGATTTCAAGCGAAATTAAAACGTTTGAAACCATGGTAATGAAGGATGTAGAGAAATTTAGAAAAATAAATAAATATAAACACAATTTATCAATAGAAGGAAGAAAAGCTTTAAAGAATATTAAGAATGATGATAATTTAGTAATTAAACCAGCAGATAATGGTGGAGGAATAGTAATCCTAAATTAAGATCAATATTTTAAAGAAGCAGAAAGGATACTCTCCGATTCCTCAACCTATCAGAAACTGACATATAATCCTTCAAATTAAACTATAAAAAATTTAAAACAATATGTTGATAAAGGAAAAGAAATTCTTACCGATAAAGAAGCTGATTATTTGTGGGTAGACAACCCAAAAATACCGGTCTTCTACCTTTTACCTAAAATTCATAAGAATGCAGAAAACCCTCCATGAAGACCTATTATATCCGGCATCGACTCTATCTTTACAAGAGTCTCTGAATACATAGACACCATACTCCAACCAATAGTCATAAAAAAAACCACTTATCTTAAAGATACGATTCATGCCTTACAGATTTTGGAAAAAATAAAATGGACACAAGGAAATCTATTGGTTACATGTGATGTAACTTCTTTATATAGCATTATCCCTCATAACAAAGGAATGGTAGCTGTGAAATATTTTTTAGAGAAATCTGATTTTAAAATAGAACAAATAAAGTATATTTTAGAAGGGATTTTATTAATTTTAACACATAAATATTTTTGGTTCGAAAATACCTTTTATTTGCCGATTTGTGGCACTGCGATGGGCACCAAATTCGCCCCAAGCTATGCCAACCTTTTTATGGCATTTTGGGAAGAAATATTTGTACTTACAGGACACCAGTGGGAGGCGAATTTGGTGTCCTACTGCCGGTTCATTGATGATATTTTTTTCATATGGACCGGAACTACAGAGGCCCTACAAGAATTTATCTCCTGTCTCAATATTAATGATTACGGAATAAATTTAACCAGTTCTTTCAGTGAATCAAAAATCTATTTTTTAGATTTAGATATCAGTATCCAGGATTCTATGATAGTAACTAAAAACCACTTCAAACCGATAGATGACAACAGTTATATCGAAAAAAACAATTGTCACCATAAACCTTGGCTCAACAATGCCCCCAAGAGCCAATTTTTAAAAATTCGATGTAACTGTGAATTAGATATATATTATCTAGAACAGGCCTACTATATTAAACAACAGTTCATGGAAAAAGGATATAACGAAGCACTTTTAAACCAAGAAATGGAGGAGGTTGGAAAATTAAAAAGAGAAAATCTTATCCAATACAAACAAAGAAATAAATTAGTCGATACTAATGAAGTCCCTTTTATTTGTAATTTTAATGGACAAAACAGACGTATACAAAAAACTATAAAAAGAAATGGCATTTACTTAAGGAGGACCCAATTTTAAATAAAATTTTACCTTCAAAACCTAAAATTACATATAGAGGAGCAAAAAATGTTAAAAATATTTTAGTTAAAAGTCACTTAACCTCCAAGAAACCAAAGCACTTTATCCTAGATCTTAAAGGATTTTATGGGTGTGGTATGTGTCTCCCGTGCAAAATTACAAAAAGTACAAAGAGACATTTAGAAAATATAGAACATATAATCCACAAGCCATATACTATAAAAGATCATCTTACTTGCCATACAAAGGGCATTATATACATTTTAAAATGCCCCTGTAATTTGATATACGTAGGGAGGACCATTAGACCTTTAAAGGTTAGGATTGCCGAACATATTCGCAACATTAAAAATGGTTTAGAAACCCATAGTGTGTCCTTACATTTTAAAGAGATTCACAACCAGAATCCAGAAAATCTGTTTTTTTTTTGCAATAAAGGAAGTAAAACGAGACTGGAGAGGGGGAAATTATATTAAGATATTGGGTAAAGAAAAAATGTGTTTTATTTATAATTTTAAAACACTTATTCCCCATGGTTTAAACTCGGATTTTGAGGTTTGCCATTTTTAATTAAATATTTTTATACAGTATTTTTTTAGTTAGTATTCTTTATATACAATACTCTTTTTTTTAAACTATTTTTAGTGATTTATATGGTCTTATATAAGGATTTTTCTACCTCCTATCATTGAGATTACCAATGTGTATACATTTCTTTTTTTGATACCCAATGTTTTATTATACAAAATGTAACTACCTACCAGTCACTACTCTAGATTTTGGACATACCAAAAAGATGTTCTTATATTACTCCCTTCACTTTTCATAGTTATTACCTTCTCCTACATTGTTTGTTGCCTTTTTATAATACATATACTGTACTTGTATTTACATTATTAGTATTTTTAATATTACTAAATATAAGAATTTTAGCCATTCCTGTCCAGCCCCCTTATCAACAACTGCTACATAAGAGACTGATATATCGGACGAGCGAAGTGGAACGCAAGGATGCGTTCCACCACACAGGAAATATAGTTACGATGTATGCGTTCCACCGATGGAACGCAAAACCCGGAAGTGGATGTGCCGTTTGAACACACGAAATGGGACCACCAGACAAATGCTAATTGTGGACTATTTAAATGGATACCTACAGCAAACAACCTAATAGCAACTGAGGAAGCCTCTAAATGAGGCGAAATGCGTTTTGCACCAAGGACTTTTTCTACAACTTACCTTCACTACTGTAAGGTCTTGTTTTTTTTAATACTTTTACTTATTATCACTTGTGGACTTTCAATAAAGCACTTTATATATATATACCTACCTTTGAGGGGAACATCTGACTACTTGAAATCTCCTGGCAGTATAAAGAAGGCAGTGGGAACCTAGATATCCCACAAATCTGGAAAACTGAGCCTTATTCAGAGGCTTTCTATTTGTGAGTGATATTCCATCCATTTTCTCCACTTTTAAATATTTTACAGACAATATTGCACTATTATGTGTTTTATTCGGTTTTACCTCTAGGATTATTAACTACCGACATCTGTTCTAATAAGAAGATACTCCACCTTATACTGTATGTAATTTTAGTTTGTTGTTAATTTACAATGTATCTTACCTTTTGGATGTAAGAAAATAAACTGCATTAGAGGAAATCCTGCTATATACTGTGTTTCCAATAACTTTATAGTCAAATGTTCTTTAAAGGATCACTACACCCTGTTCCAAATTATTATGCAAATTCTATTTAAGTGTCACAAAGATTAAATATTTTGTTTTTCGGTTTAACTCATGGATGGCACTGTGTCTCAGGGCTCTTTTGATCACTGAAAACAATCTCGGAAACCTGTGATAATTAGATTGCCAGGTGAGCCCAATTTAAGGAAAAACTACTAAAGGAGGGTGTTCCACATTATTAAGCAGAGCACCAGTTTCATGCAATATGGGGTAGAAAAAGGATCTCTCTGCTGCCAAAAAGAGTGAAATAGTTCAATGTCTTGGGCGAGGTATGAAAACATTAGATATTTCACGAAAACTTAAAGGACCACTATAGTGCCAGGAAAACATACTCGTTTTCCTGGCACTATAGTTCCCTGAGGGTGCCCCCACCCTCAGGGTCCCACTCCCGTGGCGCTGAGGGGGAGGAAGGGGTTAATCCCTTACCTTTTTTCCAGCGCCGGGCTCCCTCTGCGCTGGGGACTCTCCTCCCTCTTCTGACATCCCTGGCTGAATGCGCATGCGCGTCAAGAGCCGTGCGCACATTCAGCCAGTCTCATAGGAAAGCATTCTCAATGCTTTCCTATAGACACTGGCGTCTTCTTACTGTGAAAATCACAGTGAGAAGCGCGGAAGTGCCTCTAGCGGCTGTCAATGAGACAGCCACTAGAGGCTGGATTAACCCATTTGTAAACATAGCAGTTTCTCTGAAACTGCTATGTTTACAGCAAAAAGGGTTAAACCTAGCTGGACCTGGCACCCAGACCTCTTCATTAAGCTGAAGTGGTCTGGGTGCCAATAGTGGTCCTTTAAGCGTGATCATCGCACTATTAAGAGATTTGTGGTTAATTCAGAGCACAGACGGGTTCGTGCAGATAAAGGCACATTGAGGAAGATTTCTGCCAGATCCATGTATCGGATCAAGAGAGCAGCTGCTAAAATACCATTACATAGCAGCAAACAGATATTTGAAGCTGCTGGTGCCTCTGGAGTCCCACGGACATCAAGGTGTAGAGTCCTCCTATGAGGCCACCACTAACCAATGCTCACAAGCAGAAACGGCTGCATTGGGCAGAACAATACATGAAGACTAATTTTCAAACAGCCCTGTTCACTGATGAGTGCCGTGCAACCCTGGATGGTCCGGATAGATGGAGTAGTGGATGGTTGGTGGACGGCCACCCTGTTCCAACAAGGCTGCGATGTCAGCAAGGCGGTGGTGGAGTCATGTTTTTGGCCAGAATCATGGGAAGAGAGCTGGTCGGCCCCTTTAGGGTCCCCAAAGGTGTAAACATGACCTCTGCAAAGTATGTGTAGTTTCTGACTGACCACTTTATTCCCTGGTACAGAAGGAAGAACTATGCTTTCCGTAATAAAATCATCCTCATGCATGACAACGCACCATCTCATGCTGCAAAGAATACCTCTGCATCAATGGCTGCTATGGGGATAAAAGGAGAGAAAGTCATGGTGTGGCCTCCATCCTCCCCTGACCTCAATCCTATTGAGAACCTTTGGAGCATCCTCAAGCAAAAGATCCATGAGGGTGGGAGGCAGTTTACATCCAAACAGCAGCTCTGGGAGGCT